GTTAGAACAAAAAAAAAATAAATTTGATTGGATCTGAAAATGGCTCTCATTTTTCCAAACTATGAATTAATCTTATTGATAAAAAACATAATTCCATGGATTGGCCATAGATCTGCGTGATAAAAAGCTGTATAGCAGTTATAACAGTTTAAGAAACAGCTGATGAGAGTAGAAAAGTTTTATGATGAGGATAGTAATAAATATACCAGTTAATAGGCACTAACTTCACCAGTTTCTGGATCACTGTATAGGAACTGTCATCTCTGAGGGATGATCCAGTGTTTGACTGGACGGTTTTACTCCTCTGTTCTGAGCTAAGACTCAGTCTTAGCCAGAAATACATGACTGATTTGAACAGTATCTCACAAGTGACAGACACCAGGCCCTTGAAGTCAATTACGGCAATTTATATCACTTCAGGACACAGCCGATAAAGAGCACAGGTAGCCTGGCCTGGGTACTTCACTACTGAATCACATTTAAAGAATCTCATAAGAAGAAGAGAAGCCACAATATTTTAGACAGGTAACATGAAAGATGTATGCATTAGACACACAAGATAGTCCCTGCATTTCAGCTGAGTGGAGGTGACAAACCCTAAAATACATTCTTAGCCTTTGGAAACTGTATGATGTATTGAGCCTCTACAGTGAAATTTTAAGCCAGTGCATTCAAGCTTATTTCTGCCTCAGACTGAGCCTCTGAAAAATTAGTGACCACAGCTCAGCTGAATTGCAGTAGCTTTTTAGGCTAAAGTCACTTTGATCAGTATAATGATGCTAGTTACTCACAACCTTAATAGATAGGAACACAGCGTATGCCCTTGAAATTGTGACTTTTTTTTCCCTGCGTATTCAGTACCAGGATCTGTTATAATTTGGAAGTGTAGTTGCTTGGAAACTGAGGAGAATGCAATCTGCATGTACCCTGTTCCTTAGAGGTATAAAAGGCAAATATGAATTGCTTCACTCATTTCTGACAGAAGGCCCAGGAGCAAGTGGGCCTGTACATACACTGCTGAAATTATTACCACTAGCTTCCCTTAAAAAAAAAAAAAAAAAAAAAAAAAAAAGTGAATCATTGCTATGCTGGTTAATATTTTTTTGACTTTAAAATGTAACTAAACATTATTTGAGGTAATCTACCCCAGACAATTTTAAAAAAAATATATAAATCTTGAAGCTGGTTTTAAAGGGCACTCAGGAAACAACTTACTGTAGTAAAAATAAACTTAAATAGTTGTTCTTTTAATAGGAAACAAAAGCTAAGGTGTTAGTTAATGAAAATAAATTTGCTGCTTTAACATGTTCTAGCCTTAGAAGATGTAGAAAAGTCTGCTTCAGCCCAATTCCACTCTCTTGTTCAGCTCTCCACATAAGAACAAGAGTGAGTTACTGCATTACCGTATAAACTGAATATCCCAGTCTGGAGTTCGGTCTTTTATTCTGTTACATTATAATTTTGTACTGTTTGTTTAACTCTAAGTTTTCCTTTCAATTATTTGACTAATATTAAAACTTAACTTTAGAATAAGTAATTCAATTTTGTTCCAATACATTTTTGTACAAAGGGTAACTGTGGCAATTCTAGCCATTATTTTCTTTCTCTCCTAAAATGTCTGCTATGGCTTTTACTTTACTTTCTGCCCTGCATCACAAGGAACTTCAGTCATTGTTATAGTTTGTTTTAAAAGGAAACAATGCTTAGACATCCCTTGAGGTTTTTATTGACAGTTGGAAGAAAGATGACATATTGCCTGAAATCCCCTCCCCCAGCTAAAGTAGCCAAGTTTAAAAAGGAACTAGGAAATAGAGTAGCAGTTGCTCTCATTGCAACATTGTATTTCTTGTGAAATTAAATTAAAAGATGAAAGCCCTGTCATTGCCACAGAGTCACAGCAGCCCTCTGCTGTTGTAGGGCATCTGAACTTCGCTTGCATGCGTTGTGTCTCAGCTGATTGTAGCACAAAACACGCGGGAGGTCAAGAGAGGCGTGTTCTACAATATCACAAGTACTGTTCAAAGATAAATATTTGTTTAAATATCTGTTTGAAATTACAGTTTCCTTTGGAAGTGGAAATAAACGATGGAAAAAATGCTATAAATCCCTTTCTTTACCATATTTTCAGTATATTTGCTACATACATTTTTCCTGAGACAAAGTTTTCTCTGGAGTCTAGTAATATTAGCAGAAATAACTTTTTCACAGGAGAGATAACTTGTAATAAGTGCTTTGCTGTCTTCTCAAGTCAAAATAATTGCCCGTCCAGGAAGTGAGGCCTTGCACACTTCTCTAACACTGAAACTTCATCTTTCGTAAAGAAATGCTGTTACTTCCCAGACAAACAAAAGACCCTGGTTCGTGTTTGACAGTGCCCACCACAGAGGAGCCATTCGTCTGCATACAGAGACAAAGCAGACAAATTCTAAACCCTTAGGTACCTAAAGTTGGGTTATTAAATCTCTGTTTGGATGCAAAAAGGAGACAGCCTATCTTTGAAAGAGAAACAGAAGACATTTTCAATAAGATTGGGATGTTACCTGAAAAGTAAGACATATACCAAGTAATATAGGTACACCATCAAGGCTAAAGGCTGGTAAGTAAAGGGATATCATCCTGCTTAGACAGAAGGCTGGAAACCTCATTTCTGAGTCCTTTTACTGGTTGCTGCAAGATTTAATTTAATTTACTTGGCCTTTCTAGGCCTTCATCATCTCACACCTGTAAAGCAGCAATTAATTTTTTCTTAATAAATTTGACTCTTAGATACGTTGACTATTAGTAAGGGACAGTAATGGCAGTAGTATTACTGCTAGGACGGTGATTGTCAGCCTGTGATCTGGGCCAGATTTCCTTTAGTGGAAGCTGCTATTTAAGGGTTGTACACACCAAATGCCTTTGGCATTCAAGCCTTGACAAATTTTCCTTTTTTATTTTAGGGGAAAAGATTCTGTGAAACACTTCCATGTTGAACATACAGGAACTTCATTCAAATTTGGATTTAATGAATTTTCTAGCTTGAAGGAATTAATCATGCATTTTGCAAATCAGCCTTTAATTGGAAGCGAAACAGGTAAGGAGAGCCATATATGAACACATTTGTAACCACGCCTCACACAGGTCTAAGTAAAAGGCGCTTCCGATGTATTATCAAATAGATCTACTGCTGAAGTGTTCCTCATCAGAAAATCACATTGGTATTAACCTCAGGTATCTAAGATGTTCCTCTTCAAAAACTCTTTCAAGTACTCTGAAGACAAACTACATGTAAGTTTACTGGGTTTTTGTAACCAGGGACACGGGCTCCTTCTGATGTTTCAGAGAAAGAAGGAAGCATTTCAAATCACACATGTACTGGGAAGAACAGAACCTTCTCAAAAAAGGCAGAACCAAAGCAGGGTGTTTAGTGAGGAAATAAATATTCATCTATGAAGTTGAAATGCCCCAATAAGAATAAATGGAAAAGGGCCCGGAAATTGCTTAGCTCCACTATTCTCCATCCAGGGAATAAGCCTTCAGTGGTATGTTCCTCTTTCCTGTAGGGAATGTGGCCTGTATTACCTCTCCCTTTCTGTCTACAGTGAATCAGCCTGCTGATGCCATCTGCCACCACGGTGATTTGTCTTGTTTTTAAGAAAAAGAGAGAGAAAAGCATAGGCTTCTTTAGCAGCCAACATGCCGCCTGAATTAAGAGTCAAAAGGTTAAACTTGATTCCTACAAGTGAGTTGAACATCACCAAGCCAGAATCTCTGGAGAAACTGATGCATATTTTTCATGATAATGCCAGTTCTAGGTTTATCTTCAAATGTAAGAGTTGAAGATGTATCAGTATAAGTTAGTGCCAAAAACTTCAGTATCCTGTGTAGAAAGTGTATGCAAATAACTCAGAGTAGTACTAATTAATATGCAAGAGACCAGTGAAGTGATAATTGGCACATGTAGTAACTGTAATGTGTCACACACTAAATACGCACCAGTGCTCTTTTAATTCAAGCATTAAATTCAAGGGTTGCTTTGCAAATTTTTCTTCCCAAGAAATATGCAGTGGTGCACTCAATATGGCACTTGTATCTTTCAAAGCATTCTCTTTGTAAATTGCTTTTAAGAGTGTTTCAAACACAGAGATCCTACATGTATCTTTTGTGCCAGTAAGCTGAAACCAGACACAAACCAGACATACACCCACAGGCCTAACGCCATAAAGATTTCAGGCGACACATAAAACTTTTCCCCATTCCTTCCCTGCATGTGCTACAGACATTAGTAATCATGGCATTGGTGTTACGTGATCTCTGTGGACAGGATCAACACTGCTGAATGATGGGCTCACTTGTCGCCTTAAAGCTCCCCAATCAGATTCTGCTGGCTCTGTGAAACCTCTAAGTTGAATGTGCTACAGAATAAGAAAAGCCATTTGAGCATCACATCAAGAAACCTTCCACCTTACCTTACCATCGATCACAGTAGAGAGGAAGAGAGAGTTAGCACGCAGGAAATGTTCCTTCAGGTACAGGTGTCAAAGGTCTCCTGGGTGGTAACCGATTTATACCAGAAAGGGGGCGGGGGCTCATCAGAGCTCACTCTAAGCCAAGCGTCAGCATGGGAGAAAGACTGGCCCAATATAGGGTCACACAGCAGGTGGGCAGAAGGGCCAGCAACAGAGTCTGGTTTCTTAGGCCACATTTCCTTTCAGTGAAAAGCAGCAAGTGACCTTTAGCTCAGGCATTAGTAGAAAGTAGTTGGACGAGTTTTTCTTACTCCTCGTTATAAACAGTTTTTGATAGAAACAGTGTGAGATCAGGAACAAAAGAGTAAAGCAGAGATAGCATTTTTCATCTCCTCCTTGCTTATGAACAGGATTTTGTAAGACAGAGACCCATGAGATGGAATACGTAATGGTTTCCACTATCTTCCATTTAAGTTTGTCTCACTGGGACTAGTTTTGTGTCTGAAGAGGCACACCAAACTTTCTTTGATCAGTACTTGAATACACAGGCCTGCACCCCTGCAAACAGCTGTAGGTTTGTGTTTCAAGCCCAACGAACCTTACCTTGTCTTACTACAGCTTCATTTGCCACTCCAAATTGCGACGTGGACTCACATCAATTTTTCTACAGTGTAACGTGTGTGCTTCTTTCTGAACTACAGATAATTAAAAGGAAATTGGGGCTACTGTGTTTTATGAGATGGTTTATTGAACAGATAAGATGAATCTATTCAGTAACAAGGTTAAAGCCATATACTATCCTATTTCTATGTTTTTATCTTTCTTCAGAGTGACAAGGTCAACATGTTATTCTTACCCATTTGCTTTGTTTATCAGTTTTTACCTAAATTATTTTGAAAACACATAACTTAATTAATAACATAACACAACAAAGCCAAAGTCACTTGAAGCTAACATTTCCAACAATGGGACTAATTTGCATTCTTCCTTATAAATAGGTATCAGGCACAAACATGCAAGAAGAATCGTGCTACAGTGCAGCTTTTGCTAGTTCTTCTGTACAGTTACCAGATGGTTCTGTACAAGTATCTTCTGTGGAGAAAAAACATGGAGAACTTACTACAAAACAAATATTGTATAAAATGTTAAACTAGTCCTCCCAGTTCTGCAACTGGGCTCCTTATTCATGGTGTACAGATGATGGCACTCGGATTCTATGCAACAGTTTAAGAGTAGTTTCTGTAGACTGTTGATGGGCTTGTTCTCAATTTCATTATAAATGTTAAAGCATTATTTTTCTGCGAGGCCAGAGAGAATTAAACTGATTTTGACTTTTCACCTACTGCAAGATGAATGTATCACATTTGCATACACCCCCTGTGCCTACAGATTTCAGTTGGTTACTTCAAATACAGTTTTTCCACTTCCCTTTGTAGCCCTTCCCATTACAAAATATGCTTTAAACTTTATTTTACTTTTAAATTACTCAATCACCTGTAGGTTTCAAGTCCAAGTTCTTACCAATTCTAGCATCCCTCCTCTTTAAGAGCTGACAATATCAGCATAAAATGCAAATGGAGCAGCATTTGGTATGCTGTGACATTATTTTTAAAGAATGAGATTAGATGGTGTAGTGGTTGCTGTTTTAAAGGAGGTTCTTCACTATTGTGGACAGTGTAATAGATTCACTATTGAGAATGCAGCTTTTTGCAGAGAACATGCAATAAACATGACCTCATTTGGAGAACAAAGAATGGCTATAATCGAAATGTTACTAACTGGAAAGAGCTGTGGTGAAACAGTTAAAGGCAATGGTAATGTGGGCATAGTGCTAGGAAGTCTCTATCCAAAGCTCTGACAGATAAAATGATTTACACAGCAAGCAGCAGGTTGTTGGCCAAACCAGGATGAGCGTTACAACCTCCTATCTAGTCTAGCATCCTGCCTACCCACCCAGCCAGTCTTCTGTGCAGGAAGGGAATTTAATAAGTCAAGTGATGCCCTGCAAGCACTAGTAAGTTTAAAGGTTTTAAAAAGGTATCATATATTTACTGTTTTCACAGTTGCATGTAAACAGGGAGGATGGTGTCTGTAGTCACATCTTTGTGAATGCAGTGAAAGCGTAGGTCACGTGTAGGTCATAATTTCAGCTGTAACTATGAAATTTGGGTTTTAACCTGTTCTGCATTACGTAGTTACTCCCTGCCTGGAAAGAAGGTTCAAGCAGGACAGGAGACACCTGCCTTTGAGGGTTGTCTGACAGTCCTGTTCTGTTGCTGACTTGACTTTTCGCCACTTACATGCATTGCAGAAGGGGTTTAATTATGTACTGCTTAGAAGAAGTGAAGAGGATTTTCACTCATGTTTTCAGAAATGTAAGAACAAATTGACGCCCACTGGGGAGGGAACAGATTTAGGCGAGAAAGAGGATTTTCACTCATGTTTTCAGAAATGTAACAAATTGACTCCCACTGGGGAGGGAACAGATTTAGGCGAGGTCCAGGTGGCCAAGGTATTGAGGACTCCGAGTAACACGACAGAGCCAAGGAAGTGGGACTGGGCAAGTGAATTCAGCAGCAAGTGCCCCTCTGTAGTTTGCATGGGCAAACTTTTGAAGAAAATACCCTTCACAAAGTCTAAACTATTCAGATGATGCATGTTAGAAATATTTGTCTAGTTTTATCAGTATGGAAGAGTAATTTATAGCATCGGATTATTTTCTTGCATGGGTGTGGCCCGAGTCCTGCCCCCTTCCAAGGAAAGCCCCTTACAAGGGAGTGTCACAGAGACCTTGGGGAGGTTATTAGCTCTTATACCTTTTTAATTTTGGGGAACGGTAAAGCTAACCATTTCACAAACAGGCAGCCACTTATTTTCTAAGACTGTCTTGCCAGCTGACTTACTCCTGCTCTTTTTCTTTCCAGGAACCTTAATTGTATTGAAGCATCCCTACCCACGGAAAGTGGAAGAACCTTCCATTTATGAGTCCGTCCGAGTTCACACAGCGATGCAAACAGGAAGGACAGAAAGTGATCTTGTTCCAAATGCTCCCTCAGTAAGTTGTGTTCTGGTGGGAGGGGTGCTTCTCCTGGCTCAAGTTTAGTATGATTGCTGGAGTGAGCTATGGAATAACACCAGTAATTAATCCCTTTATGGGATCATAAATACAAGAAGTCTTTGCCAACCAAGGCAAAACAAGCACAGACTTGCCAAGTACAGTCCCATGACAAATAAAGTCTTTTACAATTGTTGTCACCCGGACCTTCAATGCTGTCACTAGAAAACATTGTCTGCAGCTGACCTAGGTAATTCTGTCCATCCAGACATAGAATATGTGAAAGGTTTTCATTCTCCTGTTACCTTCCTTTTAGAATGCCATCTTAGCAGTAATAGGAATTAAAAAAACCCAACACAACACCTACACAAAACAAACAACATTTCTCACATCTTTCTGGCAACACTCATCAGGCCGTATGCAATCGTATGTATGTCAGGTTGCACACTAAGCCCTTGGTTTGCCAAACATCCTTTACAGCCAGTGGAAAGTCTCTCTCTCTCTCCCCCCACAGGTGAGGAGAGGAATACACTAAATAGCAAAACCAGGTAACAGCTACAGGATTTACCACATTTTGTCTCAGTGAATATGAGGATTAGATGACAGGAACCAGATAATAGTCCTGACAGACATAAACTCATTACTACTTACTATTTTTGCGTTCTTTGTTTGTTAGAATTATTTTGCAACCCAGTTAGCAATATACAGCCTCCTTCCTAACTGTGAGGAAGTAAAGAGCATCTCTGACTTTCTAGGTCAGTTAAAAAGTGACCTTCGGAAAAAAATACTCAAAGATATGCAAGACAGGCAGGGACACATTTGGAAAAGGAAACCCCAAACTGAAGCGCAGTACAACCAAGTTAATAAGAGTATCCCGACAGGTACATTACTCAAAAGGGGTTCTTCGGCATTTTCACACTTGGATTTTATTATTTTAGAATCAACTTGACTTAAAGCAGGAAGACATTTTGCTGCATTCCGACACAGACTTAAACCCAAAATATGGGATATGACAGAAGAGCCTCCACCCATTCAGCCCTAGCAATTCTGAGCACAGTAAAAAGCTGTGTCATGTTAAAAGCTATGCCTTACTGGTGTGAGAAACAAGATAACATCTTTATATCCATTTGGGCCACCTGCTCAGACATCTGTGGCTCACTTGGACAGTAATTAGAGACTTTAAATCCCTGGTAACTCATAGCTAAGTGAGACAGGTGGTTTCTCCAGAACAGTATTGCTCAGAATAGAGGGGAAAGTATTTTAATTACATACTATATTTTGGGGGAAAAAGAGGAAGAATTACATTAGTACAGGTTAATGAAGTTGATAAAAAAACCACTTCTGATGTGTCTCACAACCAACCCTTCACAGCTGAGTTCCACTTTAACCTCCAAAGAAACTTGACTTCCACATGCAACCATTAAAAAACCAATACTTTTTCAAGAGCAAGTAGTCGTTAACCTGGCAAGAATTTGCTATTCAGAGGTCT